AGCTATACAATGGGTAGAGGACTAGATGCTCTTTGCTTTGGAGAAACTCAAGGGGAAAGTGCAGGAAAACTTCAAAAACATTTCTTCCAAAAAGGAAGGGTTTAGAATTCAATGGGATCCAATCCCCTATGAACCCCAGGGATCCTGGTAAGCCACAGTGCCAACACCCTGTGTTCCATTGATCTGAAGCCAGTTTGCATAGAATTCTGGATGGCTCCATGCGTCTCTCTACCAGTTCAGATTCCCTGGCAACATACCACCTGCATATTGTTGACTTATTAACTCAGACAGATTTCTGTGCAGACAACCTGCCCGTATACACGGTATGAGGCAGAGGAAAGTAATCTGTTGCTCGATGCTCTCCTCTTCATGCCTCAAACCCACAGAACCCCAACCCTCTGAAAACCTGCGGGGATGGTGGTGGGAGTGCTCTCCCATTCTATGCTGCCATGGGGATTTACCTTCAGCAGCAACACTGACTCATAGTTACTCCATACTAAATTCTCTTTTATGCCAAGGCCCTCTTACACTGCTCTGGCCCCCTAAAGCTACCTCAAAGGAGATGGAAATGGCACCCTGAACTAGCTGTGTACAGGGGACCTTCCCAGCCAGTGCAAAAAGCTGTAGTCCCTGGAGAGGGCTCAGGGCTGGAGAATGGGATGGAGATAGGGAATTAACTGGACTGCAATGCATTATGGGTAGTCTGCTTCCACGGGTCCCCTTGGAAGACAGGAGATTAGAATCTTTCCTCAGCCTATCAAAAAGAAACACACACGCCGCCTTTGTTCTAATTGTCTGAAGGAGAAATGAGAAGCAAATTAACCCTGCTTTCAGGAGGGGACTGCCACAAGGCAGGTGCCTTGATCCTGTATGTTGGCTTCAGGTGAGAGGTGACATTTAAAAAAAAAAAAAAAAAAAGCTCATAGTAGGGGTTGGGTTTAATTTCTTTACTTAATGTAGGATCCAGGTAAAATTAAAAAAATACCCTTCAAATTCCTCCTACTTAGTAGAAGAATAGTAGTATTTTCACGACTCCCAGCACCATCACATTAGCCACCAAGGAGCAGCAACTGTTCATGTGTCTAGAATTAGTCCTTTGAACATATCCTGTTAAAGGCCTGGGCAGGAGGGTTCAGTATTTGTTCTTGTCTTCAGATATGAATATGACAGCTGCGTGCCTAACATCTTCAATGGATTCTACAGTTGCGTTAGAGAAGACAAAGGAACAGCCCTAAATAAAATATTACTAACACTCACTTATACAATTTCCCTCCAAAGAATTCACAAACATTTATTGACAGTCATACACCAACTCGGAGAAGTAATCATGGTAGTGTGACAGCATACATCCATGTTTTCCACCCTACACACTATCTTTGTACAAAATATGCCTCGTAAAATATACACCTCTACCCCGATATAACATGACCCGATATAACATGAATTCGGATATAACGCGGTAAAGCAGTGCTCCGGGGGGGGTGGGGCTACGCACTCTGGAGGATCAAAGCAAGTTCAATATAACGCGGTTTCACCTATAACACGGTAAGATTTTTTGGGTCCCAAGGACAGCGTTATATCGGGGTAAAGGTGTAATTTGAAAACTAATAACTTGCTGGTCAATATCATGATAAAATATATGTAGTAATATTATATGTAGAGTTCTGAACATAAGCTGAAATCAAGACTGAAGTGTATTTGCCAGACAAGCCTGGGGGGTGGGTAAGCCTGTTTCTCAAAGATAAAGGGCAAGTTGATGCCTCAACCAGGTGTCATAAAAACTGATGGGCCATCACCTATCTTTTGCAAAGAAAGGGGACAGGAACAAACAAATCTGATTTTGGCAATCAACAGCATGAACTCTCCTCCCCTCCCCCTGCCACAAGACTCCTTGATCTGAGCTGGAAAGAACTTTATCTAGGTATCCCTCTCAGGGAACTGCATTTCAAAGGGTGACTGAACTATAAAAGCAAGGGGCAAAAACACCACAAGTTCTCTCTCCCTGTCCATCTCTGTTTTCCACCTAAGAAGACAAAGGAATCCAGCTTTTTGACTTTGGGAAGGATCCTGACTTGATGATTGGTCAGTAATGCAGCTGAAAGCATATGGTAAGAATTTTACCTTAAACTAATCTTAATTTGTAAAAAGAACAGGAGTACTTGTGGCACCTTAGAGACTAACAAATTTATTAGAGCATAAGCTTTCGTGGGCTACAACCCGAAGAAGTGGGTTGTAGCCCA